CTTGTACAGTAAGTACAGTTGTACAGTTTGGCAACCCGCCAAAATAAAAGCTTTCTGATTTTAGGTTTGAAAATGAAAAATAAAATAATTAAAATTAAAAATAATAATTAAGGTTCAAATCAAAATAATAATAATAATAATAATAATAAAAATTTATTAGCATTTTATTTTTAAGTTTACTATAAAAATAACTGTATTCGTATTTAATACTCCCTTTTTATTTTAAAATAAAATAGTATTATCACACTTTATTATTTAAAAAAAACTAAATAAAGTGTAATAATATTATCACTATTATTATTAATTTATTTTTTATAGTTATATTTGATGGGTCACATAGAAGAAGGAGGCGGGAACTGGCGAACATTCAAACATAATTTTAATAATAAAATAAACACAAAACTTAAAATAGCGCGACAGCCCCTCACGGAAGACTGCCGTGCACAAACAAAAACCAAAACAACATAAATCCAGGCCTGTTCCTCTCTCGTCTTGCACTGTCGTCACTCCTCCTTTTATTCTTCCGGAGCTCCTCCGTGGGACTCGAGACCGGTGAGTGTCATGCATTATCACTTACTCCACCGGCCTCGCTCCGTTCCCACGGCTCTCGGCCCCGCCCCACTCGTCACAATGTCTATAAAAGACAGAAAATAGTCACTCTTCTAACCTTTGAAAATAAATTATTCTTCTTATTATTATTATTGTTGTTGTCTTTTGCACTTTTTGTGTATAGACACGTGAAGGTAAATATGAAAACAAAAAATGTACTGTAATTCATATACAAATGTTATTACATAAACATCAGGTATACTATATGCAAAATAGATTATTAGGGCTAATTTGTTATTTTCAGTGTCTCAATACAGGTTGCAATAAACTTAAATTATGTAATAAGGAAGAGGCATTGATAAAGAAGAGACGTATCTGGGATAAATACTGTCTAGGTTATTGCGAGTTACCATGTGTGAAGTGAGAGAGTTTTGAGTTGTAATAAAAAGGTTTAAAGTGTCATAACAACTGAATTCCACCATCATTTCTGTCTTTCCACTTGGCTTAAAAATTCTACATAAGCAATTTCACAGGAATTAGTTCTGCTGTGCACTGTGCAGTGATATATGTTCACACAGAACACAAAAAAATTCTGTGTAGTGCTGAATCATTGAAACAAATGCTAAAAAGAAATTGAAAAACAAAAGCAACATAAATCAGTGGATAGGTGACAAATCTAAAGGCAGCTTGTCTACAAAGTGTTTATTATGTTTGGACAGCTACTTTGCAGAGTGTGCCATGTCTGTTTATTATAAGTGACACTTATTTAACGTCTTTGGGATTGTTGATTGGGCTTGGGTCATAAAGTGATACAGTTCATGAAATTAATATAGTAGACAGGCACCGGTCTAGTCCTACACTTCGCTTAAATTACGACTGAGATGCTTGATAAATAACTTTTAATTGCAGCTTTGAGACAAGAATTTTTTTACACTTCAGTCAGTTCTTAGCAGCATTCTTGAGAGTAATTCAAAGAGGCTTGATAAATACGGGCCCAGAACTTTACAGTGTGTCCATGGCCATTATAACGTTATAATGACACCTGTCAAGGGGTGGGATATATTAGGCAGCAAATAGTCACTTCTTAAATTTAAAATGTTGGAAGAAAGAAAAATGGGCAAGCAAAAAGATATGAGTGACTTTGGAAAGGGCCAAATAGTGATGGCCCTTGATTTCCAAAACAGTAAGTCTTGTGTGGTGTTCCTGGGGAAGGAAGAACAACCAGTGAACCGGCACCAGAATCATGTGCGCCCAAGTCTTATTGTTGCATGTGGAGAACAGAGACTAGCCCGTCAGCTCCAATCAGACAGAATATCTACCTTAGCTCAAATTACTGAAAAACTTAATGCTGGCAATGATAGAAAGGTGTCAGAACACACAGTGCATCACAATTTGAGGCTGCAGAGCCGCAGACCAGTCAGAGTGCCCATGATGAACCCTGTCCACTGCCAAAGGCACGTGAGCATCAACAATAGACCAAGGAGCAATAGAAGAAAGATGCCTGGGGCCCATTCTTCGTACGTCGCTAACTCAGTTAGCTGGATTTGATTGTTGATGATTTGGCATGATCTTGGATTGGTTGGTTCTTCGAAGCTCTTTGCTGTTATAGCAACAGGTCCTTAAGCTTAAACCTGCTCGTGAGCAGGCTTATTTCATGTAAACAGGATTAGATTGCATCTTTTTAAGCAGAATTGATACTTAAAATCTGTCTGCTACCACAGCGACTTTATTACAAGAGTACCCTACTAATCCAGGGACAATAATTTAAAATAATAATCATTTAAAAATTAATTTAAAGATAATATAATAATGTTGTGTAGTCTTTAATACTATTTAATACTGTAATAATATTTAATACTAATACTATTTAATACTATTTAATACTTTCAGTTTTACTCACTGAAAGATTTATTAATCATAAAATTATTACTTCTTAATTGTATTTGAGTGTTACACACATGCTATACAGATAATGTAGAGTCGTGCATTAATTTGAGTGATGACAGCTATTATGGGAGTGGCTTGATGGATCGCAGGAGATACAGATAACATGATCTTGTCCCTTAAGAAACTTTAATTAATGCTGTCACATAACAAATCTGTTCAAATATAAAATTAAATGAATTGCTAATTACTACATTGAAATAAAAATGTAAAGCCTGTACAAATATTATCAATCGTGAATATAAATGAGTATCATGTAAAAAATTATAAAATAAAAACAGTGCACATTTTATTTATCTATTATAACATTTATGTAGTTTTGTTCGCTTGGTTGTTTCCTTATAAAAGTCCAAAAATGTGTCAAGTTTTTCATCAGGTGTATTTTTGAATTATACTGTATGATGTCATTACGTTGCTGTCTTGCCGCCAGCCAATCGCTGCATTGCTGATCGTGGTTTTGAGTATCGATATATAGCCCCTTTTAAACCAACCCATGAACGCGCAATTATCTCAGATAGCACAATCTAGCCATACTAATCAACAACAACAGGTGCGATCGAAGAACCGAATTAGCCAGATCCTGATTAGCGCGATGATATCATCAGCGACGTACGAAGAACGGGCCCCTGGTCTGATAAATCACATTTTCTTTTACGTCAGGTGGATGGTGGGGTATGAGTACTTTGTTTAACTGGAGAAGAGATGGCAGCAGGATGCACTAAGAAGGCAGATCGGCGGAAGCAGTGTAATGCTCTGGACAAAGTTCTTCTGGGAAACATTAGGTCCTGGCCTTCATGTGGATGTTACTTTGACATGTACCACCTACCTAAAGACTGTTGCACACCATGCACACTCCTTCATGGCAGTCGGGTTCCCTGATGGCAGTGGCCTCTTTCAGCTGGATAATGCACAATTCCACACTGCAAAAACTGTTCAGGAATGGTTTTGAGTGACAAAGAGTTCACAATGTTGCCTTGACCTCCAAATTCCACAGATCTATGGGATGTGCTGGACCAACGAATCAAATTTATGGAGGCCCCACCTCACAATTAGCAGAACTCTGTCTCGTTGCCAGATACCACAGGACATGTTCAGAGGTCTTGTGAAATTTATGCCTTGATGCATCAGAGCTGTTTTGGTAGGATGAGGGGGAGTTACACAATATTGGCCATTTAAACCGGTAAACTCCTGGAAACTTTTTAGTTCAAGGATCCAATAAGCGACTCATGTCCTGATGTCAGTAAATTATTGTTTTCGGCATGTATTTGGCTTCAAAGCACAAGCGTTTTATAATGGATGCTGGCCAAAGGTGTTTTAGATTATGCAGTGGTCAGTGGTTTAGTAATTCTAAATTGATCCATATAATAACATGCACAGTCAGGTCAAGGTAGCTGGTTTAGTGGTCTTTTGCCATCTCCTTGTGGTCGTGTTTGCTATCACAGTTTTCCTGGTGCTTATTTGTAGTAAAAATGTATTTTTTTATTTTCATGGTTTTTGTTGTTGCTCTACATACATTGTGAATTATTAAAATTAAAAAAGTACTTTTATACTAGTGACATTTTTTAGGGAATGGGAAGTATCGGCACTTCTTTTTCCACTGTTAGCCTTCTCACATTATAATCTGGCTACACAGACAAAACAAGCTAAGAACTATTTATGAATTAGTTTTTGCTTTTTAGTTTAGTTACTTTTTATGTATTAGAAATGCAAGACTTCACACTGGTTATTTTAATAGCATAAAAATGGGTTATTTAAACATTTATTTATTCAACTTACATATTTAAACTCCTATTATTATCACTCAAGCTGTCTACACTGCAAAATGAATATCTTGCTTACATCAGATATACACTTTATTGTTTATGATGAGAACATTCATGAGAGTGCATGCTGAACAAAACTTATTTTGCATTCATAAGCCCAACAGAAATGTGTGTGAAAATTCAAGATCTATTTTCACTCTTGAGGAATGATGACAAGACAAGACATATATAAAATAGCTGAGCACATTCTATTCAGACAAGCAGGGTGTGCTCTTGAATCTCATGATAACAAAGCTACGCTGAGAAGGAGGGGTTGTCAAAAGGTGCTTCTCTAGTGACGGAACAACTATCACTCATATATGTTAGTAAGTAAAGTATATTATCTGGTATTATACCTCTTAAATGTTATATAATTTTACAGATCTCACACATAATTATTAGGTTCTGTATACTAGCATGGGTCATAAAATTAGATCAAAATGACTTGGGAAAACTAGGTAGCACTTCCAATGACATTGTTACAGTAAAGTTAAAAGAATGTGGTTAAACATGGCACATGTACATATTTGTATAAGGACAGAAAAATAGTGTGAAAAAGATGGCTCATTCTTTGTTTTATTAGAATAGCTGTAATTATAATACAAGGTTTTTAAAATAAAGAAACTGAGTAATGTGCAATATTACATGCTATACAAAAGCTGAGTCCTATTGTTATTATATCTGTATGTTTTGTTTAGGCTACAGATGGACAACCTGACATTCAGATACAGTGTACTACTAGTGGAAGGACTGAATGTTACACCGCAGTCAAGCTTTCCTGCATTTATCCTTATTTTGATTCTATACATATTTATAATGTTATCTAACATTGGGATGATGATTCAGATTTTAGTAGAAAAAAGTTTACACCAGCCTATGTACATTATTTTCTGCAACTTGACACTGAATGATATATTAGGGTCTACTGTTCTTATGCCACACTTGTTGAAGGATATTTTAACAGACCCCTCTAAGCGCTACATCACATATGTGGAGTGTGTTATTCAAGCTTATTTTACTCATTTGAATGGTACAGCATCTCACGCTGTGATAATGATCATGGCCTATGACAGATATGTGGCCATATGCAATCCACTGCGATACTCAACTATAATGAGCAATAATATGGTGGTTAAGCTGTCAGCAGGAGCCTGGGGTGTTGCAGTAGTGCTGGTGGGAATTTTGATTGGCCTCAGTGTGCGCCTGTCTCACTGCAGATCTGTGATTCAAAACCATTTTTGTGATAATGCTTCACTTTTTAAACTATCCTGTGAAAATACTGTGATTAATAATGTATATGGATTGACTTTCGCTGTGGTTTTATTTGCCTCCTCAATAGGGAGTGTGGCATTAACATATCTCAGAATAATGATGGTATGCTTCAAAAGTAAAAACAAAGCAAACTACAGCAAAGCCATAAAAACCTGCAGTGCTCACTTGACTGTTTATATAATTATGTTTGTGTCTGGGTGTGTTGCAATTTTTCTTCATCGTTTCCCTGTATATGGTGAAACTAGGAAACTAGGTAGTGTAATGTTTCATATTATTCCACCAGGCTTGAATCCAATAATATATGGTATTCAAGCCAAAGAAATAAGACAAAAAATGGTTAAACTCTTTAGAAACAAAGTTAATACTAAGTGATTTTCTTTTATTGAGGAAGAAATTCCATTACATTTTCTGTGAACGAATATTCTTTTAAAATACTGCATAAGCAGCATAGATTTCTCAAGATACTACATTCAATTTATTCATTCATTCATTCATTCCACCAACTGGCAACCTCTGACACGGAATGCACATTTTGAAGTAGAATAACTGACTATAGCATTGTGTTTTATAGAAACAAGTATGTACACTTAGTATGTTTCCTAAATATCTGCAAATATATTATTGTATTTCATGCTTTAGTACAGCCCAAAAATTACATACAGCCCCTTTAAAATGTAAATGCCCATATATCTAAAGGCTGCAATGCACAGCGTTTTCACAGCAGCTTCATCAAGAACAGGCTTGCTCTGCGGTGAGTGATGCGGGCCCATAAAAACCTGCAGTGGTGAAGAAGAGATTAGTTTAATTAGGTTTGTGTCTGGGTGTGTTGCAATTTTTCTTCATCGTTTCCCTGTATATGGTGAAACTAGGAAACTAGGTAGTGTAATGTTTCATATTATTCCACCAGGCTTGAATCCAATAATATATGGTATTCAAGCCAAAGAAATAAGACAAAAAATGGTTAAACTCTTTAGAAACAAAGTTAATACTAAGTGATTTTCTTTTATTGAGGAAGAAATTCCATTACATTTTCTGTGAACGAATATTCTTTTAAAATACTGCATAAGCAGCATAGATTTCTCAAGATACTACATTCAATTTATTCATTCATTCATTCATTCCACCAACTGGCAACCTCTGACACGGAATGCACATTTTGAAGTAGAATAACTGACTATAGCATTGTGTTTTATAGAAACAAGTATGTACACTTAGTATGTTTCCTAAATATCTGCAAATATATTATTGTATTTCATGCTTTAGTACAGCCCAAAAATTACATACAGCCCCTTTAAAATGTAAATGCCCATATATCTAAAGGCTGCAATGCACAGCACGTCATTTACTGCTTACCTGATGCTGCTCCAGTAAAGCTGACTTTAGCAACAACAACAAAAAAACAAAAACAAAAAATAAATAAAAAGAAAGAGTGACTAAACTTCTGCTCTGAGTTAAGAAGAGAATGCTTCTTAGGCAAATTTTTTTGAGGGGTAATTTTCTCTCTGCATCTATTTTTCCACTTCTTTTCGGGCGTTTTGTATTATTTGCTTACATAAATTATACAAATTTATATTATTACTATTTTTCAAATTTTATAATTATTGCAAAGTCATCAAAACTGATTTGTGGCATCAAAAAACAATTATGCTGTGACCAAAAATATAGAAAATTGTAATGACATTAAAATGTCTATGTATGTATATAAATAATTAGGGCCCGAGCACCGATGGTGTGAGGACCCTATTGGAATTGCTCCGTTTCTTCTTGTTCTTCTTCTCCAAAGTGAACCACATTTTTGAAGGCCTAAACATGCTCCAAAACTCATGAAACTTTGCACACGTGTCAGAACTTTCAGAAAATTTACATCTGATATGGGTTTCAGAAGTGGGTGTGGCAAAACGGCTCGATAGCGCCACCTGTAAAATTTCAACGGAGTGCCATTGTGAATTATTAAAATTAAAAAAGTACTTTTATACTAGTGACATTTTTTAGGGAATGGGAAGTATCGGCACTTCTTTTTCCACTGTTAGCCTTCTCACATTATAATCTGGCTACACAGACAAAACAAGCTAAGAACTATTTATGAATTAGTTTTTGCTTTTTAGTTTAGTTACTTTTTATGTATTAGAAATGCAAGACTTCACACTGGTTATTTTAATAGCATAAAAATGGGTTATTTAAACATTTATTTATTCAACTTACATATTTAAACTCCTATTATTATCACTCAAGCTGTCTACACTGCAAAATGAATATCTTGCTTACATCAGATATACACTTTATTGTTTATGATGAGAACATTCATGAGAGTGCATGCTGAACAAAACTTATTTTGCATTCATAAGCCCAACAGAAATGTGTGTGAAAATTCAAGATCTATTTTCACTCTTGAGGAATGATGACAAGACAAGACATATATAAAATAGCTGAGCACATTCTATTCAGACAAGCAGGGTGTGCTCTTGAATCTCATGATAACAAAGCTACGCTGAGAAGGAGGGGTTGTCAAAAGGTGCTTCTCTAGTGACGGAACAACTATCACTCATATATGTTAGTAAGTAAAGTATATTATCTGGTATTATACCTCTTAAATGTTATATAATTTTACAGATCTCACACATAATTATTAGGTTCTGTATACTAGCATGGGTCATAAAATTAGATCAAAATGACTTGGGAAAACTAGGTAGCACTTCCAATGACATTGTTACAGTAAAGTTAAAAGAATGTGGTTAAACATGGCACATGTACATATTTGTATAAGGACAGAAAAATAGTGTGAAAAAGATGGCTCATTCTTTGTTTTATTAGAATAGCTGTAATTATAATACAAGGTTTTTAAAATAAAGAAACTGAGTAATGTGCAATATTACATGCTATACAAAAGCTGAGTCCTATTGTTATTATATCTGTATGTTTTGTTTAGGCTACAGATGGACAACCTGACATTCAGATACAGTGTACTACTAGTGGAAGGACTGAATGTTACACCGCAGTCAAGCTTTCCTGCATTTATCCTTATTTTGATTCTATACATATTTATAATGTTATCTAACATTGGGATGATGATTCAGATTTTAGTAGAAAAAAGTTTACACCAGCCTATGTACATTATTTTCTGCAACTTGACACTGAATGATATATTAGGGTCTACTGTTCTTATGCCACACTTGTTGAAGGATATTTTAACAGACCCCTCTAAGCGCTACATCACATATGTGGAGTGTGTTATTCAAGCTTATTTTACTCATTTGAATGGTACAGCATCTCACGCTGTGATAATGATCATGGCCTATGACAGATATGTGGCCATATGCAATCCACTGCGATACTCAACTATAATGAGCAATAATATGGTGGTTAAGCTGTCAGCAGGAGCCTGGGGTGTTGCAGTAGTGCTGGTGGGAATTTTGATTGGCCTCAGTGTGCGCCTGTCTCACTGCAGATCTGTGATTCAAAACCATTTTTGTGATAATGCTTCACTTTTTAAACTATCCTGTGAAAATACTGTGATTAATAATGTATATGGATTGACTTTCGCTGTGGTTTTATTTGCCTCCTCAATAGGGAGTGTGGCATTAACATATCTCAGAATAATGATGGTATGCTTCAAAAGTAAAAACAAAGCAAACTACAGCAAAGCCATAAAAACCTGCAGTGCTCACTTGACTGTTTATATAATTATGTTTGTGTCTGGGTGTGTTGCAATTTTTCTTCATCGTTTCCCTGTATATGGTGAAACTAGGAAACTAGGTAGTGTAATGTTTCATATTATTCCACCAGGCTTGAATCCAATAATATATGGTATTCAAGCCAAAGAAATAAGACAAAAAATGGTTAAACTCTTTAGAAACAAAGTTAATACTAAGTGATTTTCTTTTATTGAGGAAGAAATTCCATTACATTTTCTGTGAACGAATATTCTTTTAAAATACTGCATAAGCAGCATAGATTTCTCAAGATACTACATTCAATTTATTCATTCATTCATTCATTCCACCAACTGGCAACCTCTGACACGGAATGCACATTTTGAAGTAGAATAACTGACTATAGCATTGTGTTTTATAGAAACAAGTATGTACACTTAGTATGTTTCCTAAATATCTGCAAATATATTATTGTATTTCATGCTTTAGTACAGCCCAAAAATTACATACAGCCCCTTTAAAATGTAAATGCCCATATATCTAAAGGCTGCAATGCACAGCACGTCATTTACTGCTTACCTGATGCTGCTCCAGTAAAGCTGACTTTAGCAACAACAACAAAAAAACAAAAACAAAAAATAAATAAAAAGAAAGAGTGACTAAACTTCTGCTCTGAGTTAAGAAGAGAATGCTTCTTAGGCAAATTTTTTTGAGGGGTAATTTTCTCTCTGCATCTATTTTTCCACTTCTTTTCGGGCGTTTTGTATTATTTGCTTACATAAATTATACAAATTTATATTATTACTATTTTTCAAATTTTATAATTATTGCAAAGTCATCAAAACTGATTTGTGGCATCAAAAAACAATTATGCTGTGACCAAAAATATCGAAAATTGTAATGACATTAAAATGTCTATGTATGTATATAAATAATTAGGGCCCGAGCACCGATGGTGTGAGGACCCTATTGGAATTGCTCCGTTTCTTCTTGTTCTTCTTCTCCAAAGTGAACCACATTTTTGAAGGCCTAAACATGCTCCAAAACTCATGAAACTTTGCACACGTGTCAGAACTTTCAGAAAATTTACATCTGATATGGGTTTCAGAAGTGGGTGTGGCAAAATGGCTCGATAGCGCCACCTGTACACATTCAACGGAGTGCACCTCGAGCTACGTTTTACGTAGGCTACATGTACGAAAATCGGTACACACATGTAAAGTCGGGCTCACACTGTGCGATTTTTTTAAAAGTCCTTTAGGATTGTACTCAGGGCTGAATTGGTAATCGGGCATACCGGGCATTTTCCCGGTGGGCCGACGCATTTAAGGGGCCGACAGAATGTTTTTTTTTTTATATATATATATATACTATACAGAGTACTATCACGCAGGGACAGCGAGCAGCCAGTGGCCCATTGGTTTGTCTACTGTTTTGACAGTGTAAACATCCAATCACAATGTGCTATAGACGGAGCGATGAAGTAGAGATCTGCGCGGGACGGATTTTTCAGTCCCGCTCCCGCAAGATTCTGTCCCGCGCCCGCCAGCTCCCGCAGAAAAATACCTTATCTGGGCCTTATCATCGCGATCTCATAAAGCTCTGTTATAACACAATGAACATATGCACAATGAATCTTTCACAATGTCTACACTCCGTGTGTTAAAATGAGACGATTCGTGAGCACGCATTTTCAGCACTACTGTGAGTGGATTCTAACCACAGTAATCACCTCTGGTTGGCCATTGCGTTCCAGAAATCAACAGCTGAGTCTGTGATTGGCTACATTGAGCAACCCTTTAAACACGTGTTATAAATAGAAACTCTGCCTATCTTGTGCGTGTTAATCATTTTAATCTTATTAGTTGTTCTTTTTGCTTTTGTGCGCAAGGATGCTTTAAATTGACCAAAAGTGACGATAAATATTTTTAATGTTACAAAAAAATTATATTTCAGATAAATTCTGTTCTTCTGAACTTACTATTCATCAAAGAAACCTGAAAAAATTCTACTCAGCTGTTTTCAACATAATAATAATAAATGTTTTTTTGAGCAGCAAATCAGAATATTTGAATGATTTCTGAAGGATCATGTGACTGGAGTAATGACGCTAATTGATAGGGACTCGCAACGGAGGCAGGCATCTAACGTGCGCCATGATTGTAGAATACGTAAACGAAACATTTTTTAATAAAACGTAAATTCAAACGTAATTTTTTTGAACAGTAAGAAAGATCCAATAGAATAGAAAGATCCAAAGATCAGCAGTAATCTGAAATAAAAAGCTTTTGTAACATTATACATATACCATTCAAAAGCTTGGAGTCAGTATAATTTTTTTTTTTTTGGGAAATGATAGAAATTAATACTTTTAGCAAGGATGCTTTAAATTGACCAAAAGTGACGATAAATATTTTTAATGTTACAAAAAAATTATATTTCAGATAAATGCTGTTCTTCTGAACTTTCTATTCATCAAAGAAACCTGAAAAAATTATACTCAGCTGTTTTC